AACTTTTGCTCTAAGAAAGATGGCATTAAGAGAAGAGAAAGATAATGCACAGGCTGGGCAAAAATTTTCACAAAGCATTTATCTGAATGAAGACACACGCAGAACATACAAAAACTCTTAAAACACAACAATAGGCAAACAACACTTTAAGAAGGGAAAAAAATTAAACAGACACCTCACAAAAGATGGGAATGGTGGCATATAACCATGTGAAAAGATGCTCAGCATTAGTCATGAGGGAAATGCAAATTAAAACAAAAATGAGATGTCATTATGCACCTGTAAGAGTGAAGAAGTTACAAAGACCGACCATTCTAAGAGTTGACAAGGACATGCAGAACTGAAACTCATATACTTCTGGTAAGAAAAGTAAAATTGCACCACTTTGGAATACTATTTGCTAATTTCCTAAAAAGTTAAACATACATCTACCATATAACTCAGCCATTCTACTCCTAGATATTTACCCAAAGGAAATAAATCACATGTTCATGGAAAGACTTGCACATGTATGTTGTATTTGTAATAACTGCCTTCCCCACCATCTCTAATCCCTGGCAACCACTATTCTGTCCTCCATCTTATAAAACTTGTCATTTCAAATGTTGTACTAATAGAATCAACACTATGGATTCCTTTGGGATTGGCTTTTTTATTTAACTAAACATAAAATTTCCCGGTGATTCAACCAAGTTGTGGCATATATTATAAATAGTTCATTTCTTTTTATTGCTGAGTCATTTCATGGCATATGTTTGTGCTGTAATACAAATATATGGTCATTTTTAAATACAAAATTTTTTATCATCTGCAGCTTGCAAAGGGCCCCAATAATTTATTCTGTGGCTGTTGGGTAGCACGTTCTGTAAATGTCAATTAAATTAAGTTGCGTATGATTTTGTTTAGATCTTCCATGTTGTTCTTGATTTTTTATGTACTGGTTCTGTCATTACACAGATAGGGATGTTAATAAAATTTTCAATTATAATTTTGGATTATTTATTCCTTTAGTTCTGTTAATATTTGCTCCATATATTTTGCAACTGTGTAATTAGAAGCAGATCCATTTAGGATGCTTAGCACTTGATCATATTTTTAGAAAAATCCTCACCTGATGATATGTTTATTGATTTCATTTTATATTTTAAAAGACTTTATTCATTTTTAGAAAGAAGGGAAGGGAGGGAGAAAGAGAGGGAGAGAAACATCAGCGTGTGGTTGCCTCTTGCATGCCCCCTACTGGGGGGGACCTGGCCTGCAGCCCAGGCATGTCTCCTGGCTGGGAATTAAACTGGCAACCCTTTGGTTCACAGGCCAGCACTCAATCCACCGAGCCATACCAGACAGGGCTATTTATTGATTTCAGAAAGAGGAAGGGAAAGAAAGAGAGAGAAAGAGGAAGAGACATCAACATGAGAAAATGAAATATCAATTGGTTGCCTCCCGTACACACCCTGACCAGGAATCAAACCCACAACCTAGGTATGTGCTCTGACGGGGAGTCAAGCTCACAACATTTTTTAGTGTATAGGGCAATGCTTCAACCAACTGAGCTACCTAGCCAGAGATAGCACTTAATGGTTAATTGATCCTTTTATCATTATATAATGATCCTCTATATCTGGTAATATTACTTGCCTTAATGTTTACTTTGTCTGATATGAATATATCCTCTCCAGACTTCTTTTAATTAGTGTTTATATGGTGTATCTTTTCTATTTCTTTACTTTTTAACTTGTCTTGAAGTTTTAGTAGATTTTTTTTTGTAGACAGCATATAGTTGGACCTTACATTTTAAATGCATTTTAACAATCTCTGCCTTTAGTTGTAGTGTTTAATCCATTTTACATTCAGTGTAATTTTTATAAATAGTTAATCTTTGAACAATACAGGTTTGAACTGTGTGAGTCTACTTATATATATTTTTTCAATAAATACATTGGTACTCTAAATGGATTTTCTCTTCCTTGTGATTTTAAATAACATTTGCTTTTCTCTAGCTTATTTTATTGTAAGAATACAATATACAATACATGCAACATACAAAGATATGTGTTAATCAACTGTCCATGTTATCAGTAAGACTCCTGGTCAACAGGAAAGTATTCAGGATACAAAAGTTATACACAAGTGTGTGGGGTTTGGTGCCCCAACCTCAGCATTTTCAAGGGTCAACTACAGTTTTTTTTGTTTGTTTATCATTTTGCTATTTTTAAAAATGTCTGTACTTGTGTCATTTGTTCCCAACTTCCCCTGGATTGAGAATATTTAAAAAGTCCATTTTAGGTCCTGGCCAGTTAGCTCAGTTGGTTAGAGCTCATCCTGATGTGCCAAGATTGCAGGTTTGATTCCTGGTTGCAGCACATACAAGAATCAACCAATGATGGGTCAATGAGTGGACAAGTCTCTCTCTCTCTTTCTCTCTCTCTCTCTCTTTCTCTTCCTCCCTCTCTTTCTCTAAAATCAATAAAATTTTTAAAAGTCCATTTTATCTCCTCTGTTGGGTTTTTTAATGTACATTGTTTTTTGGTGGTTTCTCTAAGAATTACATTATGAGTTCTTAACTTATCCAAGTTTGCCCTGGATTAATGTTATACCTCTTCATGTATAATGTAAAAACCTTACAACAATATAATTCCACTAGTATTCTCCTCCACTTTTCTAAAACTAGCAATATATTGTTACCATTTTTAGTTGAAGTAGTCATTGGTTTTTAAAGAAATTAAGAAAAGAGAAAAAAGTCTTCTGTGTATAGTTGCCTTCTCCGGTGTTCTTTATTCCTGCCTTTAGACCAAGCTTCCACTTGATGTCATTTCCCTTCCACTCAAAGAACTTCCCTAGCATTTTTTACAGTCTGGGTCTCCCGGCAATGAAATTGAGCGCCTGTCATTTAATAAGGCTTGAGAATTTGATCCAATCACAGCTACCATCTTTGTTGATCACAGGATTCAGACGACACTAGCACCCTGGCAAGAGACGCACCCCTGTCCCCAAAGTCCCGCATCCTCACCCTGGCAGTCTGAAGGCAGCTGTGTCTGATGCACTGGTAACAAACAGACTGGCCACTGGCAGGCACACTTCTCTGCTGAGCCTCTCTTAGAGCCCCAGAGGTTTGTTTGCTCAGGGATGTCAGTTTTTTCAGAGGGAACTCGGCTACTTACCGCTCATGAGTCATTTATGCTAAGGACACTTCATGTCCACTTTAGGACTCTTTTGATAGGTACTCTTCTTTTTTAAAAGATTTTACTAATTTTTCAAAAGAGGAAAAAGGAGGGAGAAATAGAGGGAGAGAAACATCAATGTGTGGTTGCCTCTCAAACACCCCCTTCTGGGGACCTGGCCACAACCCAGGGATGTGTCCTGACTGGGAATCGAACCAGCAACCCTTGTTTCGCAGGCTGGTGTTCCATCCACTGAGTCTCACCAGTCAGGGCAGCCACGTTAGGTAATGTGGGTACAGCCCTGATCTCAAACCTTTTTCCCTGACTCCCTTTCCAGCCTCAATTCATTTGCCAAAGGGTTTGGCTCCTGTATATTGCTGGATATTCAGGAACGTGACTCATTATGCAGAGTACAGTTAACTTTCACATTTGGCTTCCCAGGAATGGATGTCAAGCCTCAGACACTAGCAGGTAGATCCCAGGGACATGCTACATGCTCTTATTTTTCAGGACCACATGGCTTTCTCAGAGGCTTTCTTGTTCACCTAGTGGCCTTCTGGGTGTCAGCGAGGTAAAATACATGAGGTCTTACTTCCAAGGAGCTCACATTTGTGTGGGGGAGAAGTCCCAGAAGCCACAAGTAGAATGAATGCTCCCAATTCAGGAAGACTGCTGGATGCTCCTGTGCTCAGGATCCCTTGGGAACACCTGGATCAGCTGAGAGTCTCCCAACATTGATGATGCTTGGCTAGAATACTGGTCGATAAACAGGAGGTAGCAAGACAGTGAGGGAAGAGCATTCCAGGCATAGGGAAGAACATTTAAGAAGGATTGAAAAAGCCTGATACATTCCAGGAAGTCCACTCCTGATTGAGGACAAAAACCTTCAATCCACAAGCCATCCCAGACATTGTTCTCTTTGGCCTACAAGAGCGAGACCAAACTCTTTCCCTTGGTAGTCAAAGCCCTTCACAATCTTGCCTCACCTTACTTCTCACCTCTCCTCCCCAGCCCCATCCTCCAGCCCCTGACCCTTTGTTATAGCCACTCTGATTGTTTCCTGTCCTCCAAGCAGGCCATTCACGTTCTGACCTCCAGGCCTTTTCTCAGGATGCTCCCTCTGCAGGGATGTTTTACTATTCACTGAGCTAACTGCCGCTCATCTTCCAAGACCCACCTCAGGAGACATTTCCACTGGATGCCCTTCCAGGGCGGGAGTTCGAGACTCCCATGCCTAGAACTCAGCTTGTTATTCTTGTTGACGAATTAGTTAATCATGTCAAGGAAGCCTTCCCTGAGTATCCAAGATAGACACTCCCTCTGCTCTGTGCTGCCCTCTGTGACCTGTGACCCCCCCCCCCCCCCCCGCACACCTTTTCCATGCTTTGTTTAAAGCTTCTTGAGGCAGGTGCCATTTCTTATGCCCATTTCTTTTTCTTCAATGTCTACCTATCCTTTTTCTTCAACTCTGTACCTATCACACAGAAGGTGCCTGGTACGTGTTTCTCGAATAAATGATCGCCACGCCACTATACATTTATATCTTGTGGGCCGATGTCATCGCCTCTACCCCTAGCGGATGCCTCTACTGTCCGCAGCTCCTGCTTAGTAATGCGGGTTGCTAAGGAGCTGTCTGCCAAACCACACCCTGAGGCCGCTCCGCCCACAGTCTGAGTGGGCATGGCCCCGCCCCCAGCCGGGGTTGAGGGGCGGAGGCCAACCCACCTGTCCTTTTGGGATTGGTGCAGCAGCCGCCAGGAGGCGGGGACGGATCCCAGCTGCTGCTGACGCTCTCTCTGCCCGAAAACCCCGCTGGCTGGCAGTCAAGGGACAGACGGCGAGACCAGGTTGTGGTGAGTGAGTGCGCAGCATCCGGACGAGGGGCGGGACGGGCGGATCCGGAGGACGCTTAGGACCTAGTTGCTGCTCAGGTCCGCCTCTCCAAGTGCTGCGCGCGGCCCCAGCCTTGCGGGACCTGAAGCCAGCTCCTCCCGCAGGACCCTGCCCGGGAGGCTGAGTAGGTTAGGTCGTCAGTCCGGTCTTGTCTTCCAGACCCGCAGGATCGAGGCTTCCGGTGGACGAGAAACCACCCAACATGGCATCGGAGGTGAGTGGGACCTCCGTGACGCCGGTCCTACAAGACTCCAAGCGAGGGGGAGGGGCGTCCTGGGGGCCAGGTAGGGCCGCGACCCATTCACGGGATCTCCTGTTGCCACACCTGTCGCCGCTCGCCCCCCTGGTTATTGTCCTTACTGACTACAGGCAATGGTCACCTGCCAGGGCCGGGGAGAGACCTTTGCCCCTCCTGCACCCCTCCCCAGAAGGTCTGTGTGGCAAACCCACTAAAGCACACTTCTGGGAAGGTGGTCTTGACCCAACCTCCTGCTGTGGCAGTTGTCCCTGTGTAGCAGAATCTACATGACTCTGGCCTGTGGAAAGCGCCAGGAGGTAGGGGCCGTGCCCTGCGGCCCCAGTGCCCAGAAGTTTCCTCTGTTCCCTAGAGCCAAAGGACTCTTGGGTTCTTTTCCTGGATCTGAGGCACACGTTCCTTTTCTTTGGCCTCAGCTGATTTAACTGGCAAAAGCCAGCAATAATAGCTGTCTGCCTCTCCCCGCTGTGCCTGCCCCGCCCCCCCCCCCCCCCCCCCCAGCCACCGTAAGATACTAGATCATGAGGTCATTGCTTCCAACCCTCACATAAAAGGGGCTGTTTACCTGAAGTATTGGGCCTGGGAAGCAGGAGGTCTGGGTTCCAGTCCCTTCAGGTCCTAATGAGCTGGCAAGTCACTTCCTCTCTCTGGACCCATTTGTGAATCTGAATAAATGAGATGAGAATGCCTGTGCTGCTAGCTTCTAGCTGCAGGTGGAGGACTGGGGGCAGGGCTGGACTTTGGAGTCAAACGGACTTGGTTTCTGAAGCAGCCACTCGACCTCCCTGAACCTCTTTCCTCATTTGTTAAAAAGGAGGTGACAGTGCCCACCTCGTAGAAGGGTGTAAACAGCACACATAAAATGCCTAGACAGGGTCGATCAATAGTAGGCGTTCAATAAATGGTGGCAAATTATACTCACAGTAACAACACTGGTGCTCCTTTGTGCATTCTCAATTAGCTATTGTGCTAATTGCTCGTTTATCCCAGCCCACCCAGTGCCCCTTGCCCTAGAGGGATCATCCTGGCCCAGATGTTTGCTGGCTTGGATCAGGGTCCTCTCCTACCACACTGGGCTTCCCCCTCTCCTCAGTGCCCAGGTTGTAGCACCTCATTCTAACATCTTCCTGGGTGGGGTCCTTTTAAGCCTGCCAGTGGGGTGGGAGCTTGGCCACAAAGCAGAAATGGGCTGGTTTCAGGATATCAGAGTGCCAGGTGACCTCTGCTTGCCCTGGGCAGTCCTGTGGGATGGTACTAATTGGTTTGGCTGCAGCCTCACTTGTTAAGTAGTTGTTATTACTAACAACCTGGGCAGGGAGTCCAAGAACCTCCTGGGGGAGGTGGTGCCAGGCCTCTGGCTGAGGGGCAGGCTGGCTCCCCATCCTTACTGGCTGGCCCTGGCCCTCTGGCCCCAGTAATCAGGACTGGGGCCCCATGTGGTGCTTTGCTGGAAGTCAAGGCTTGCTGGGGCTGCAGGAGTGTAAGGGGCAGGCCCAGCTCAAAAGACTGAGGGGGCGGAGGCTGCTTCTTCAGGGCAGAGTCCTCTAGTGGCCAAGGCTGCCTGGCACTGAGGAGTCAACTCATAGCGAGGGGCCAGAGCGTGGTGGAGAACCATGGTGCACAGTGCAAGCAGGCTAAGGTACACCCTGGCTCCAGCAGTCCTCAGCTGCTCCTTTAATAATACCTACACTATGGAGTCCGTACTGAGTGCCAGGCACTGTGCTATGTATGGGCTTAGCAAATTGTATCACATTGCTGGAGGTGCAGCACTGAGGCTTTGAGAAGTTACATAACACACCCATGGCCAGGTGGCTAACAGAGGTCTGAGACAGGGGATGACATGTCCCTAGTGACCATTTAAGTCCCACTCCAGAGAAAAGATGCCAGTGAAGTACCACACACACCTCTACCCTGGTACACTCTACTCCTGATCCTTGGCTCTCTGAGCACTTTGACTACTTCACAGTTGTTCTGTGCCCCCTCCCCCACCTGTCCCATGCCCCGGCCTATGCCCTCTTTCAAAACAGAGGTGTCTTTATCCCATCCCTCTGCCCTTGGTTTCTCAGGGACAGAGGGTCAACTAATGTCCTCCTGTGTCAGAGGTACTCTCTAAAGAAGTTTTGGTGAGGGGACCTTAGGTCCTGTCCGGAGCTATGGGAGGGAGACGCAGGTAACTTGAGCCTGATGGGGTCCCTCAGGGGTCTCCATGGCCATCCCTGCAAAGGTTCAGAACAGTCTGGCAGAACACAGGTTCAGAGCGTGGCTGTCTTCAGACTGCTGGGCTGCGGGCCTGGCTCTGCCACCCTCCGTGAGGGCAAGACACAGCATTGCTCTGTGCTTCAGTTTTCCCCTCTCTGTACCAGGATAGTATTGGTGCCTACTTCAGACGGTCGCTGTCATTACATGCCAAGCATTTAGAACAGTGCCTGATAAACAGGGAATACAGCGTTATTATTACCAGTATTATTGTTAACAATAGTACTGGTTAATAATAATAATATTAATGTTTTAATAATATGAACATAATACATATTAATGTTATTAATAATATTAACATGATAATATGTTAGCCAGTATTGTTATCATTATCACAGTACATCAGAGCTGGGTCCAAACTCTGGATGCTACCTTGGTCAGCAGCAGGAACAGCCCTAGAAGTTGTGCTGTGGTCTCAGGGGTGCCTCGTACCTTTCCACCATCTCCCCAGAGCAGTGTCATGTGGTGGGAAAGAGCCCTAATGTCCTGGGGGGGGGGGCTGGAATGGGAGTGAAAAACAGAAAATTGTACTTGAACAATAATTAAATAAATTTTTTAAAAAAAAAGAGCCCTAATGTCAGTGTCCAGCCACATTCCCAGACTCACTCGCTGAGTGACTTGGGGCAGGTGCCTAACTCTCTCTGAGCCTCAGTGAGACTGGTTCCCTTGGCTGTCACACTCATTTACTCTCCTGAGGGCCCTCTGTGAGAGGCACCGTTCTCGAGGTGGGGCAGGAGATTAATTGCCCCGGCTCTCCTGACCAGAGCGGGAAGCTGTGGGGCGGCCGGTTTGTAGGCACCGTGGACCCCATCATGGAGAAGTTCAACTCGTCCATCACCTACGACCGGCAGCTGTGGGAAGTGGATGTGCAAGGCAGCAAGGCCTACAGCCGGGGCCTGGAGAAGGCAGGGCTCCTCACCAAGGCCGAGAGGGACCAGATACTCCAGGGCCTGGACAAGGTACTCTCCATGCCCCAAGGCCCACCCTCGAGGCCTCGGGCTTCAGTTTCTGTGGCCCCGGGCTCCCACCAAATCCCCAAGCACAGGTCACGGTATCATCCCAAGCCCCTCACATCCCCTTGTGGTGATGATTCACCTAGAGAGGTGCCCTTTACCCACATGCAGTGCTCACCATCTCTCTTCATCCTTTAATGCCCCTGTTGCCCCGTGGCTCATGGGCAAAGGGCCACTGGGCCTGAGATGCTCCCATGGGGTGAGGGCTGCACAGGCTTGTGCAGAGGGCTGGCGGAGCACTCCCAGCATGCAGCTGCAACACAGGGACAGTCAGTGATCAGGGGGAAGGTGGGAGCAGGGCTTGCCCTCATGGCTGCTGATGCCTGCCAGCCTGACCCCTGGGTTGCTGCCATCTGCTACAGGTGGCTGAGGAGTGGGCCCGGGGCACCTTCAAACTAAATCCGCATGATGAGGACATCCACACGGCCAATGAGCGGCGTCTCAAGGTACGACTTCCTCCTGTCCCTTAGCCTCCCCTCTCAAGTGGCTCTTGGCCACTTTGAGCATAAGCACCCTCATTCCGATCCCTCCGTCACTGGCAGAGTATGGGTGGGACCTCAGAACAGGAGGCCTCAGCAGAGATGGCAGAGACTCGGGCAGGACCATGGGACCCTGGGGCCGGGAGGAAGTTCACGCACCTGGGTGGGCCCCACTGGGCCATGAGCAGCAGGCTCTGACCCATACCTCCCTCCACCCCTAGGAGCTCATTGGTGACACCGCAGGGAAACTACACACAGGACGAAGTCGGAACGACCAGGTGCAGTCACCCCTCCACCTCCCACCCTGTGCTGCTCGACCCTGGGGAGCTCGGACAGCAGAGTCAGGTCTCAGCCGCTGTCCTGGCTCCCCAGGACATCTGTCTGCCTCAGTACCACCTCCTCCTCTCCACAGGTGGTGACAGATCTCAGGCTGTGGATGCGGCAGAACTGCGAGACACTCTCCGCCCTCCTCCGGGAACTCATCAGAACCATGGTGGATCGAGCGGAGGCGTGAGTGCCCCGGGGACACCCAGGTGGCAGACAGGGCGTGAGTGCAGCCAGGTCTCCTCTCCCCTGGGGCAGGCAGCTTGAATACCAGATCTAGGAGGCAGGGGTGAGGAGGGTAGAGGAGCCAGGCCTGGAGGTATAGGGGGTCCCAGAACTCCTGGTCTGAATGAGGCAGAGCAGCTAGGAGTAGGGGGTTTCTTGCGGTGTCCCCAATCCTCCAACCAGCCTGGCACAGCAGACAGGACAAGCTCGCCCTCTGAGGATTCATGAGCCGCTGGCTCAGGCACCGGGCAGGTGTCCTGAGGAAAGAGGCAGGCAGTGCCTGGGGCAGACAGAGCCACTCCTCAGCCTACACATGCGCCTCGTCCCCATTCCAGCCAGCATGGCTGGCAAAGGACAGATCCAAAGGCTGCCTCACTCCAGCCTCATCCCCAACTTTGGCTTCTGTGCCCTGACAACTGAGAAGTCCCTGTTTGGTGTCAGGGACAGGGCTGATTCCCCCTCTTTCCCAACTCCCTGTGACCCCTGCTTCACAGACTTCACCACCTGGGCGAAACAAGGGCAGGAGCACCGTCACCCTGTGGGGGCTGGGAGGAATAGGGAGTGACTGCTAAGAGTTCGGGGTTCCTTTTGGGGGCAGTGAAGTCTTCTAACATTGATGTGGTGATGGTGGTACATTAACGTGTACGCTTTAAACAGGTGAATTGTGCGTGTGAATCGTGTCTCGATAGAGCTGTTTATTAAAGAAAACAAACCAACCAGAAACACCATTCTTAGCACCTTTGCCTCTGCCCCACCTGCTCTGAAGTGCCCCCGCTGTTCTGGGGTCCTTGGGAGCTTCTCGCACACGCACAGACATGGCTCCCACTGCTGGGCGGTACCCGCTGCGTGCTTCCTCCCTGCCCTGGCCCCTGCTCACATCTGGTGGGAGATGCAGAGGCCAGAGCCGAGGGTGTGATCATGCTTGGTCTTGCCAAACCTCGCCCCACAGCCCCACAGCCGCACAGCCGCACAGCCCTGGCCCAGCCCTTGGGTTGTACTGCCCAACTTCTGGTCTCTTCCTTACAACTTGCTTGTCCCCTGGAGATGCCTCAAGCAGGCAGATACTTGATAGACCTGCCCTGCTCTTCCCTGGAGGGGCCCAGGCCTGCGGGATCCAGGTGTCACAGGCAGGCCCCGCCTGAGCCCGCCGAGCCCCTCGGGCAGCCTGCCCCTACTCTTCCACAGGGAACATGACGTCCTCTTCCCAGGGTACACTCACCTGCAGAGGGCTCAGCCCATCCGCTGGAGCCATTGGATCCTGAGGTGAGCGGGACTGTGATGGAGGGGCTGTGATGGCGGGAAGGCCCCCAGGCTGCCCTGACCTTCCTGTCCCCTGCCTCCCCACAGCCACGCCGTGGCACTGACCAGAGACTCTGAGAGGCTACTGGAGGTGCAGAAGCGGGTCAACGTCCTGCCTCTAGGGAGGTGAGTGAAGTCCCCGTGCTCCGAGTGGGGGTGGGGAGGAGGGTGGGGCTGCTGCCACATAGCATGGCCCTTGGGGATTGACAGGAGGGAACAAAAAACCAGGTTACTGGCCTTCCCATCCAGGCTTCTTTCTGGCTGGGCAGGCAGGACCCTGCATGGACCCTAAGATGTGGACAACCAAGCTAGCAAATGTGTCAGAGCAGGGTCAGAGCTCCCCAGAGATGCTGCAGAGAAACGGCCATGTTCCCTGCACAGGGACAACCAACGGGCACCAAGCTGACTGGCCGCAGCCCTGACACCCAGGGCTCAGCTCTGGGTGTGCATGTGTGTCTGTGCCAGGGCCTCTTGTCAGGAGCCCTGGTCAATCAAAACCCCCTGTCCTGTCCCCACAGCGGGGCCATTGCAGGCAATCCACTGGGTGTGGACCGGGAGCTGCTCCGAACAGGTAAGCGCCCCACCCTACCCTGGGGGTGGTCACTATCAGCTTCTACAGGGTCTTGCAGAGAGAAGGCAGGAGTCTGGGTGAAACTTCTCTCTTCTCTTTATTACCTATGGACACTAAAGATAGAGAAGCAAGGTACACTCAGGACTCCTGCCTCCCTCCTGGGACCTGTACAAGGGACCCTCACCACACCTCCTGTGCCTCCCTACTTCTTCTCCCTGAAAGGGGGCCAAAGGGAGGTGGCTGAGCACCCCGGTTCATGGAAGAGGAGGCCCCACTTTGCCCTCCAGCTCAGCCCTATTGCCTTCCTCTTTCCCCCACTGCCCAGAACTGAAATTTGGGGCTATCACTGTCAACAGCATGGATGCTACCAGTGAGCGTGACTTTGTGGGTGAGTCCTGGGGGCCACCCTGCTCATCCCCAGCACTGTGCCCCTCCTTTGTCCTGCAGTCCGCTGCTCTCCAACCTCCTCCCACCCCCCATATGGTCCACCTGGAGCTTCTCCAGGCCAGGTGAAAGCCAAGAGAGGCCCGGTGACCAGAGAGCCTGCTTTCCCTTCTCTCCCACAAGCTGAGTTCCTGTTCTGGGCTTCGCTGTGCATGACCCATCTCAGCAGGATGGCTGAGGACCTCATCCTCTACGGCACCAAGGAGTTCAGCTTTGTGCAGCTCTCTGATGCCTACAGGTAGGGCTGCACTCTGCGTTGCCCCAGCTCTGCTCCCACCAGCATGGCTTCCTTCCTCTCCGCCCCCACCAGCCCACCAGCCGAGGGGCAGAGGAGCCCCTTCAGCCACAGCATCTCTGTCCCCAGCACCGGAAGTAGCCTGATGCCCCAGAAGAAAAACCCAGACAGCCTGGAGCTGATCCGGAGCAAGGCGGGGCGAGTGTTTGGACGGGTAAGAAGGGCAGGGAGTGGGGCAAGGCCTCTGGCTGACCCAGAGGGTCCTGAGGAAGCTTCTAGGACGGGCTCAGGGTTTCAGCCTCTTGATCCTTACTCTGCCCTCAGTGTGCTGGGCTCCTGATGACCCTCAAGGGACTTCCGAGCACCTACAACAAGGACTTACAGGTGTGAAACTGGTGGGGTTGGGGTGGGGAGTGGAGAAGGGACCCACCTGCATATACACCACACACCAGTTCTCGGGGCCCTGGCACTTCCAGGCAGGGGCCACACAGAATTGCCGCCTTCTATCCTGTGCACCCAGACCTTGCCACCCCGAGAGTCCTCTCCTCTCCCATGGTGTAGGGTGTGGGAGGTGCTGAATGTTCCCAGGGAAAGCAGTGGGGCTGCCTCAGTGGGGGATGGGGCTGCTGAGCCTCACCTCCTGCCACTTGTCTTGCAGGAGGACAAGGAAGCCGTGTTTGAAGTGTCTGAAACCATGAGTGCTGTCCTCCAGGTGGCCACTGGCGTCATCTCTACATTGCAGGCAAGACCCGCCTCTTCCCTCCTGGGCCCCTAAACTCTGGGATGGGTGTGCAGGCGGTGATCTTGAGAGGAGGCGAGGGTACAGAAGACCTGGGTCAGGGGAAGGAGGTACGTGTTTGTTCCTGCCTTTGAGGAACAGTGAAGGGACAAAAGTTTCGGAAATGGGTTAGACTCAAGGAGTCCCATCAACTGGCCTGACCAGATTTCTTTTTAAATCACCTTATTATGGGAAATTTGAGTATACAGCAGTTGAGAAAATATATAATGAGCCCATACATACCAACCCTCAGTTTCAGCAATAACCACCTCATGGCCACGCTGGCGTTGGCAGCTACCTTTACCCACTCCCTTTTGAACCAAATCCCCGTCTTCGTATCATTTCGTTCCTGAACAGCTCAGGATGTGACTCTAAAGCAGTGGTTCCCTAAGTGTGGCTCTGGGGCCAGCAGCGTCAGCATCAGCTGAGAAGCTGACAGATGTGCAGCCCCAGGCCTCACTCCAGGTCTGCTGCTGAGTCAGACTCTGGATGGGGCCCTGCGACCTGTGTTTGCAAGAAATCCTCCAGGTGATGCTGATGCACACCAAACATAAAGACTGAAAATATAAAGGCAGCGCTGTATGTAGCACAACTAAAAATTATCAACAATTATGAAAAGATGGCTTGAGCCAAGACGGCAAAGCAGGGTGGGTAAGAGTGGCTCTGCCCAAGGCAGGAGACTTCCTTCCTGGCTGAGGGGTAGGCCCGGGAGACTACAGGACTCACCACTCCCCCACCTGCATCCCCCAGATTCACCGTGAGAACATGTGGCGGGCTCTCAGTCCTGACATGCTGGCCACTGACCTCGCCTACTACCTGGTCCGCAAAGGGGTAAGTGTAGGCGGCTGGGGCGGAGGGGCGGAGGTAGGGGTGGGGTGAGGCGGGAGGGATGCCCTGCTCATCCCCTCAGACGGGGCAGTGGTCAGGGAGGGCCCGGGCTCCCACAGCAGGCCAGGGAGCCCAGGAAGCCTGCCTCAGTGCTCCCTCCGCTCTGCACCTGCAGATGCCATTCCGCCAGGCCCATGAGGCCTCTGGGAAAGCAGTGTTCATGGCCGAAACCAAGGGCGTGGCGCTCAACCAGCTGTCGCTTCAGGAGCTACAGACCATCAGGTGCAGCCCCACCCCTCTCTCTGCTGCCTCCCAGGGGACAAGCCCAGGCCCCTGAGGATGGGGTGGCTAGGCTGCCCTAGCCCATCTCTTTCTTTTCCCCAGCCCCCTGTTCTCAGGCGACGTGAGCCACGTGTGGGACTATGGGCACAGCGTGGAGCAATATACTGCCCTGGGTGGCACTGCGCGCTCCAGTGTCGACTGGCAGATCGGCCAGGTGCGAGCGCTGCTTCGGGCACAGCAGGCCTAGGTCCCCCGACCCCGCTCCCAAATAAAGTGGGCCAGAGAGAAGGCTGCTGCATGTTTCCTGCCTAGACTGACAGGTGCAGCTGCGGGCATCTGGGACCTGTGCAGAGGCAGTGGAGGTCATCAAGGGAGTGGAGAGACTGGACAGGAATGGCAAGTCATGGTGAGGGGGGACGGTTTGCATCTCATCAGAGCCTCTGTGCTGCTGAGACCCACTCCCTTTCACTGTGGGCATCACGGTGACTTCCTGCTCTGGGAAACACTGGACCCCTGGACCCCTGGTGGGACCTGATGGGCTTGGTTAACCGTCAGTCAATTCCTGTCCACCCCTCCTCCCAGTGTCCTCTTGGTTCCCCTACTTCCACTCCCTCTTGCTTAGCCCACCCTTCCCTGGGCCGTCAGGCACAATTTCAGGGTATCATGGGATACTGGATTTATGATGCCTGGCGCGAGGTAAGCTCCATATACGGATTAAGAGGATGCACCCACCACAGAGAGTGATGTGCAGGGGAATTCCCTGGCACTACTGGGCAGGGTCACAGACAGGTGGTGCCACACTGAGTCAGCAAGGGGCCGTGGCCAGGCCTGGCATACAGGAAGTGTTCAACAGCAGCGAGTGCCCAGGGCCAGCGGACGTTCAAAGACTTCTACACGAATCTCACTAACACCGTGAAAAGAAATGTCTGAAATTTACATTTCATTAACAGCAAAGATAAGCTAAACTTGAGGAAGAATGAATAACCCCCCCCCCCCAGTGGTTCTGGGAGCAATGAAAGGACTTTGTAAGTTAAAGAACCGAAACTCCAGCGGTCCAGCTGGACACAACACTAAATTACAAAAGGGGTCACGCTCTGGGTCACAGAATCTTCCGGAGTAGTGGTTTTCAACATGTGGTTCCTGACGGTTATCATCACCGGGGAACTCGTTAGACATGCAGACTTCCAGACCCCACTGAGTCTTTTCCTGCCTCCTTTTTTTCCTCTTAAGGTTTCCAATGTGTTGTTTACTCACTATTTCTGAAGTCATCTTCAGTGGGGCAAAAAATTAGGGGAAAAAAAAACACTTGAATGTTGGAATTCAATTTTTTTTATAAAGCCCCTTTAAAATTTGTAAAAACAAAACAGAACTGGGCAAACCAAAAAGAAGGGGCAGGACAGAGTGGTTTTTAAGAAAGGAAGGAGAAGAAAACAAGGGCAGGGCGGAGGACCCCCGCTCCCCCTCAGCTTACTCCTCGGTCCCCTTATCTCTCAGACTCCTTGGCTCTCCTCCTTCACCCGAGGAGCTTCTAGCTTTTCAGCCTTTCTCGGCATCATCGCTTTTAGTCGGATCCGGCTTTCTCTTCCACCTCTCCTGCGTTCTTCAAACTTTGCTGGAATTTCTGTGCATTTTCAGCATCGAGGAAGCGGGTGGCCCGCCGCTCCCGCTTGGGGCGCTCCAGACCCTGGTGCGGGTCACTGCCCGCGTTTGGTTTCAGCTGCATCACCGCTGTGATGCAGCGGTTGGCACCTGCTTTCAGGGTCTTGTCGCTCCTCACGAGGAAGTAAATGGTCCTTTTCTCCTCGGGCTTCAGGAGTTTGATGTCGCCGGTGCCCCCGTTCCTTCCATTCTGGGACACCGTTCTCTGAAGCCAATTGAAATAGCTTTGCCCACACTTTGAAAAGCTCTTTACCATCAGCGTGTTGCTTTCTTGCTGGGGAAGAGAAACTGTAGGCTCAGCCTGGGGGGTGGGAATAGACCTGTCTGCATCCTTGGTGCCTAGCACGGTCCTCACGGGTGTCCACGCCGGCGGTGGCAGCGGCTCAGCGGCTCTCGGAGGCTGGTCTAGCTCCTTCCCTCCGCGTCTGGGGCCCAGGCCGCCCCGCCCCGCCCCCGAGATTTTAAATCAGTTCTGGGAGACACCTAGCGTCGCAGTTTAGCAAACCCTTCCGGTGACTGGAATGTGCCCTCGAGTTTGAGAGGCACAAGTCCCTAGAACCTTATTACACAAAGTTGCTGCCGACCAGCAATATCGGCCTCCCCTGGGACCCACCCAGACCCGACTCAGAGTCTGCACTGTAGCGAGTTCCCCAGGTGCTTCCTGTGCACATTAGAGTCAAAACTGCGGATCCAGAGAGAGAATGCCTAAAATCTAGTTTCAGAAGCCAAGGAGGGACTAACGTCCATCAAACAGCTGATAGGAATAGAATAATAATTGTAATAACATGACACAGGGAACAGAGCCCACCCTACCACCTCCATCAACTGGGAGATAGATCTGTGTAGAGAATCCCATCAAAAGTTCCTCCATAACTGAACTAGAATCAGCCTGTCAGTGCTTCTGGCCACTGAGCCTGGCCACCTGTGGTCTGACCGGAAAAGAAGGAATGGGCCTCTCCTAGCTCAGGGAGAGCAAGAGTTGGTGTAGCTTTTCTGCAAGTTCTGCTCATGACGACTGCTACATTTTACCTCTTTCTGTTCTGCTGCCAAATGAATTAATCTCTTGTCAACTTTTTTCTTTTACATCAAAAATCAGTGTGCCCTTGTGTTGGTTTCCTATTGCTGCCACACCGAATTACCACACACTGGTGCCTTAAAACAAAATAAACATAATTCATGAGGCCAGATGTCTGAAGTGGGTTTTACTGAGACAAAAGCAAGTGTCAGCAGTTCCGTGCTTCTTCCAGTGGCTCTAGAAAGAATGTTTCCTTGCCTTTTCCAGCTTCTAGAGGTCACCTGCATACCCCGGCTCATAGCCCCGTGCTCCACCCTCGAGGCCAGCAGCGTAACATTTTTCCTGACTCTGCCCCTCTTCTTCTGTCCTCACATCTTTGGACTGATCTTTCTGCTTCCCTCTTATAAGGACCCTTGTGATTACTAGGGATCCACCTGGATAAACTAAGGTAATCTCTTCCTAAAATTCTTAACTGAATTACATCTGCAAAGTTCCATTTGCCATGTTAGCTAACAGTCACAAATTTCAGGGGTTATGACATGGACAGCTTTGGGGGGGTCATTCACCTACTACATTCTGCTGCTGGCTCCCAAGGATGAGTGTGGATCCCATATGTAAAATACATTCTTTCCATCCCAAGGTCCCCCAAAGTCTCAATGCATTATAGTACACTTATGTTCTAAATTTCAGCAAAACCTCATCAGCTCAAAAGTCATCATCTAAATCCTCTAACATTAGTTATGAGTGAGGCTGCAGGCAAAATTCCTCTCTCTCCCTGAGGCTGTGAAACTCATATGACTGTGGTGAGGATTAAGTGAATTCACACGTGTAAACCCAATTAACAAACTGTCTACTCCCCAAATACAATGCTGGTTTAGGCAAAGGATAATAGTTACAGCCATTTCAATTTTAAAAGAAAAATGGAGCCCTGGCTGGTATAGCTCAGTGGATTGAGCACAGGCCTGTGAACCAGACAATCGCAGTTTGACTCCCAGTCAGGGCACATGCCTGGGTTGCAGGCCAGTTCCCAGCAGGGGACCCATGAGAGGCAACCATACATTAATTTAAAAAAATGGAAATTTTCAGTTTAAAAAGAAAGAAAACAAGGAGTCACTGGTTGCAAGCAATTTTAAAATGCAGCCTGGGAAACTCCATGTGGTTTGCAGGCCTAGGAATAACCATCCGTGGCTCTCGGCTCTGCCCCGCAGCCTGCACATGTCTTTTTCTTCTCATGGGTTAACACGTGTTGCAGTTGAATAACATATCAGCCTATTAGCTGCCTGTAGAATTTCGAGAAAACTTTGAAAGCCTTTTTCAAAACTGTTCTTCCTCCCTCTATTCCTGTAGCCCTTAAGAACTTTGTGGGTTTCCTGTGTATATCACAGGAGGTCATTTCATTATAGATAATAGATTCTGCCACAGATCTTTCCTGGATAATCCCTTCCATGAGTCCCGTGCCAAATCCTTTCCAAGAGCACTCTTTTTATTTTTATTTTTTATTCTCACCTGGGGACATGTTTATTGACTTTACAAAGAGGGGGAGGGAGAAATAGAGGGAGAAAAACATCAACATCAGAAAAAAGACATTGATTGGTTACACTTGTACACCCCCCAACCCGGGATAAAACCCACAACCTAGACATGTGCCATGACTGGGAATAGAACCCATGACCTTTGAGTTGTGGGGCAACACTCCAACCAACTGAGCCACACCAACCAGGGCCAAGAGCACCCTGACCTTTTGATCCCTTCCACAAACTAGCAAAAGTTTGTCCAGCATACTTTCCTAAAACTGAATCTTGTAGTTTTAGGATCTTTTGCAATATGGAAAGACTGAAATTTTTCCAAATTACTAAGTCCTGATTTCTTTTGCTTAACTGTTCTTACCTCAATTTATCTCTTCTCACATCTTACGCCCTTCACTGCAAAGAATGCTGAAAAAGCAACAGCCTGGCAAAAGAGAATGAGACTAATTGGCTCTTGTACTAAATTTTAATCATCCCTTGGGGACTGGGGCAGGACCCACATCCCTGAGTCTATCTTCTGAACAAACCAGCGTCTATAACTAGGGAAGACAGGAGCAGGCAATGGCTGTTAGGTTAGCAACCAGTGGTACCCAAAACAGATGAGCACTGCCATATTGGAGCGCGGAGGTTGCATTGGCATGACTGGCAGCCATGAAGCTGGCAGACTCCAAGTCAACAGAACCCCAGAGGGATGTCCTATACGTGCACTGTGGAACTGTCCCATCCTGTGTTCCACAGTTATTTGAAAAAGTGCGAACTAAAATTTCCCCTTGTAGAATTCATGCAGTTGAAATTGACTTGGTCTTCCGACTCCCACAAATTTGACCAGGGTTTCATCTATTTTTCTCATCTCCAATCACCAGTAAAGAAGATGAAGAAAGCAAGGCTGTGGCTGAAGCCTGTGGCATGCAACACGACCCCGCTCCTAGCTTACCTTCAGTTGGCAGTGGGGGGACGTGTTTACTCAGCCAGTTATGATTATACTCAGCAATGCTGTCTGTCATCCATGCTACGGTTTTTTAAATCAAGTCATTAATGATTTTTTCAAACCTCTAGCTGAAGTTCTGATAGCCTTTGTTAGAGCCTTA